ATTCTCTGGAGGTATTTAAACAGTTGGATGGCCACCTGTCAGCGTGCTTTGATTTATGCTTTTCCTGCCTGGCAGAAGGGGGTTGGACTAGATGGCCCCATGGGGTCTCTTCCAACTCTAGGATTCTATCTATCTATCTATCTATCTATCTATCTATCTATCTATCTATCTATCTATCTATCTATCACCTTTTCTGGTGGTCTTTAAACAGAGCTGGATGGCCACCCATCAGCGTGCTTAGATTGTGCTTTTCCTACATGAAGGCAGAAGGGGGTTGGACTAGATGGCCCCATGGGGGTCTCTTCCAACTCTAGGAATCTATGGATCTATCTATCTATCTATCACCTTTTCTGGTGGTCTTTAAACAGAGCTGGATGGCCACCTGTCGGGGTGCTTTGATTGTGCTTTTCCTGCCTGGCAGAAGGGGGTTGGACTACATGGCCCATAGGGTCTCTTCCAACTCTATGATTCTATGGATCTATCTATTTATCTATCTATCTATAACCTACTCTGGTGGTCCTTAAGCAGAGCTGGAGGGCCACCTAACCGGGTGCTTTGATTGTGCTTTTTCTGTCTGGCAGAAGTGGGTTAGACTAGATGGCCCCACACGGTCTCTTTCAACTCTATGATTCTATGAATGCCCTTTGGCCCCACTTGAACTGCCCCAGCTCAAGGTGATGGCATCCTGGGAGTTGTAGTTTGACAAGGTCGGTAGCCTCCTCTGCCCAATAATGCTGGCGCCTCACCAGCTCCCAGGATTCCACAGCATTAAGCCATCGTACTTAAAGTGGTGTCAGAAAAAGCACAGATGATACAGAGCCAGGCTTGGGAGTTGTAGTTTGGTGAGACGGCAGCACTCATCGGCAGAGATGGCAACGGTCTTGTGAAACTACAGCTCCCACAACGTCATTGCATGCAGTTATGGCTATTAAAGGGTTGTTCAGCTGTTGCGATAGTAATACATTATTATTGTTATCGTTGTGGTTTCTGTTTGCACTCACTCTGTTCCTTTATAGAAGGGATGCATTGACACGATGGAATGAATGCAACTTGACGCCACTTTCCCGTGGCTCCGTGCTACAGAGTCTGAGATCCGTAGTTTGGCAAGGCACCAGCATTTTGGGCAGAGAAGGCTGAAAACTACAACTCTCATGACTCCATAGCAATGAGCCATGGCAGTTCAAGTGGGGTCAACAGCATCCATTCTACAGCTAAAGCAGTGGGGTGCCATGTTTAAGCACTATGGTTCCTTCCTGGGGGATCCTGGGATCTGTAGTGTGGGGAGGGACTTGGGTTTCTCTACCACAGAGTCCTGTGTGATTCCTCTGAACTACAGGTCCCAAGCTACTATGGGAAGAGAGGGTTCTGGTGTTAAATCTTTTTTGTTTTGCCTGAACGGACTGGGAAGGACTTCCTTTCTTCTCCTTCCTATTACTTTTTCGCTCTGAGACACCCTTGTAGTAGTTATAGCCGGCTGAAAACAAGGGAGGAACATTTGGGATGAGAAAGAAACCAGGACATTTTAACAGCAGTTAGAAAAGTGGGACGGCAGAGGACCAATATGCCAAATCTGAGATCGTTGGAGGATATGTTTTCTCTCCAAATTACAAATCACAGGATATGAAATCGGGATTGCGATACAGTGTAAATACACCTGAAAAGCGGCATGCCACTGGTAACGATGCCAGTCCAGGGCAGCAAAGGACAATGTTCAAGCGTGCGTCTGGAAACTCGATGTGGCTCCATCCCAACCCCATTCTGACATTTGCTTTTTGAAGCCATCCTTCAAAGCAGGGAATGGGTGAAGCAACCACTTCATGTCAGGCCTGCCATCCTTTTGGAACCCAGCAAAGGGCAGGCATCTGCAACAGCTGGGCCCAACACACCCTGTTTTTCTCCCTTCGGGGAAGGTGCTACAATGCTCTTTGGGAGAAACTGGATCCCTCTGGCATTTCCCTCTTTATATATCTCTTTTTTTCCCAGCTGGGATATTTTGAATCCCATCCTTGCCTGACACAGGGCTGCAGAATAGTTGAGGCCATTGTGTTCTGTTGCCTCCAGGGCTGCTCTTACCATTTTCCAGTGTCTAAAAAAGTAAGATGCAATAGTTTCTGCAGTTTTATTATGATTATATGTGCCTTTCTGATTTTTGCCACCCTATTGGCAAGATTAGTTTTGTTTCATTTGTCCTCGCTTTCCCTTGGAAGGCTGAGAGAGTGAGGTCAGTCATGGGATGAGCAGTATTCGAACCCAAGATTCCCTTCAGACAGGGCAAAGGCACCAGGAGGTTGCAGTCTTCCTTGTTGGTTTTGTTTGTTTAAATAACTGACATTTCTTTCATCCAGGGGTGTCTTCTTCCAATACTGACCACTTGCTACTCTCAGATGAATGTTGTCTCAATTCCAAGACAGAATGGAACAATATCAAATCACAGACTTGGAAGAGACCCTAAATACCTACCTTCCTTCCTTCCTTCCTTCCTTCCTTCCTTCCTTCCTTCCTTCCTTCCTTCCTTCCTTCCATCCATCCATCCGGGGACTTGTAGTGCCCTAGTCATCCAGTTCAACCCATTGCCGTATCTTCCCTCCCTCCCTTCTGGAAACTTATAGTGCTATAATCCAGTTCGAACCTTTGCCAAATCTTCCTTCCTTCCTTCCTTCCTTCCTTCCTTCCTTCCTTCCTTCCTTCCTTCCTTCCTTCCTTCCTTCCTTCCTTCCTTCCTTCCTTGGGACTTGTAGTGCTATAGTCATCCAGTTCATCCCATTGCCAAATGTTCTTTCCTTCCTTCCTTCCATCGGCAAAAAAAGCCAATGGGATTTTGGCCTGCATCAATAGAAGCATAGTGTCTAGATCTAGGGAAGTAATGCTACCCCTCTATTCTGCTTTGGTTAGACCACACCTGGAATATTGTGTCCAATTCTGGGCGCCACACATGAACGTTGGACTAGTTGAAGCTTCCGGGCAGTCTTCAGAGGCAACCCCATGTAGAGTGCATTGCAGTAGTCTATTCAGATGTAACAAGAGCGTGGACTACCATGGCCAAGTCAGGCTGCCCAAGGTACGGGTGCAGCTGGCGCAGAAGTTCAGACCTGGTTCAGCGATGAGTCCAGGTTCAGCGATGAGTCCAGGATCACTCCCAAGCTGAAGAGAGATATTGACAAGCTGGAATGTGTCCAGAGGAGGGCGACTAAAATGATCAAGGGTCTGGAGAACAAGCCCTATGAGGAGCGGCTTAAGGAGCTGGCATGTTTAGCCTGAAGAAGAGAAGGCTGAGAGGAGATATGATAGCCATGTATAAATATGTGATAGGAAGCCACAGGGAGGAGGGAGCAAGCTTGTTTTCTGCTTCCCTGGAGACTAGGACCGAAACAATGGCTTCAAACTACAAGAGAGGAGATTGCATCTGAACATGAGGAAGAACTTCCTGACTGTGAGAGCCGTTCAGCAGTGGAACTCTCTGCCCGGAGTGTGGTGGAGGCTCCTTCTTTGGAAGCTTTTAAACAGAGGCTGGATGGCCATCTGTCAGGGGTGATTTGAATGCAATATTCCTGCTTCTTGGCAGGGAGTTGGACTGGATGGCCCATGAGGTCTCTTCCAACTCTTTGATTCTATGATTCTGGGGATTTGTGGTCATCCAGTTCAACCCATTGCCATATGTTTTCTCCCCTTTCTTTCCTTTCCTTTCCCTTTCCCTCTTTCTTTCTTTCTTTCTTTCGACTTCTAGTGCTATAGTCTTCCATTGCCAAATGTTCCTTCCTTCCTTCCTTCTGGGGATTTGTAGTGCTATAGTCATCCAGTTCAACTCATTGACATATGTTTCCTCCTCCTCTCTCTTTCTTTCTTTCTTTCTTTCTTTCTTTCTTTCTTTCTTTCTTTCTTGGGACTTCTAGTGCTATAGTCATCCAGTTCAACCCATTGCCATATGTTCCCCCCCCCCCTCTCTCTCACTCTTTCTTCCTTCCTTTCTTGGGACTTTTAGTGCTATAGTCACCCAGTTCAACTCATTGCCATATGTTCCGTCCTCTTCTAACCTCTTCTTCCTTCGTCCTTTCCTCCTTCCTTCCTTCCTTCCTTCCTTCCTTCCTTCCTTCCTTCCTTCCTTCCTTCCTTCCTTCCTTCCTTCCTTCCTTCCTTCTTTCCTTCCTTCCTTCCTTGGAGTTGAAGTGCTATAGTGAAGGAACTAGATAAAATCCTCTAGTATATATATATCATTAAATATCAAAGAATGACTCACCTAAGCCATAGTGTTTCCACTTTTCTGTTTGGACATAAAAGCTGTACAGTTAAAAAAGACAAGAGTTAAAAACTAAATGGATGTGATCTGTGTCATGGATTGAACCTTAAACCGTAGCTTGGGAGACCAAGGTTAGATTCCCCCCTTGACCATGGAACCCCAGTAGGTGACTCTGGGCAAATTCCACTTTGGACGTACCATGAACGGATGTACCACCGGCAAAAAATTGTTTGCAATGTGATAGGAGAAGGAGGAAGAGACTGCACTACAAGTGGATCGATTCAGTCAGGAAAGACATGGTTGCCCTGAGTTTGCAAGACCTGAGTTGTCCAGATGGAGGTCTCTCTCATTCAAATGAAAACTAAGTGCTGTAATGCGCCAGTGATCATAATAGTGGGTTTTGGGGTCTGAGCGTTGGATATAGGATTCTGGGAGACCAGGGTTTGAACCTCGCAGGTCATACTCTCTCAGCTTTAGAGGAAAGTTGGGGGCAATGTGAAGAAGCAAGACAACAAAGCAAATTGATGAAATTGTACTTATGCTTATGTACTTATAACTCTAAACAGCTGCTTGCACTATAACCATTGGGCGACCTCAGCACACTATGCTTCAGGTTTGAATATCTCTAGTGCAGCTCCAAGGTATCCTAAGGATGAATGGAACCAGCCCAAGTGCAACAAAATACAAGGAGCCACAATTTTAGTGTGGAAGGACTCACAGACTTGTAACTTTTGGGGCAGGTGGACAATGGAGCAGGACAGCTTTGCCCGCTCATGAAGTTATGCTGTTATTCTCTCTCGACTGTTTAGCTTCCTTCTTTAGTCCTTCCTGAAGCATTTGTTGGTGCCGGAGGACCATGCGCTTGGGTGCACAGCGCAGTATTTGTCACCCTTGCAACACGTTCTGCAATTGCAGTTTTGCAGGAAGCCGTTACAGGAAGTCAGAAAAAAAGGCCAGCTCCAAGACTTACAACGCTTGCCGTTGGCATCTGTGGGCACACCCAAGCGGACGGCCACTAGTCCAACCAATGGAGGAACACCATGCATTTATTTGGGTGGAGATGAATCCAAAATAATGGTAGAACAAGAGAGGGAAAACGTGCAGAACCAACCGCTGAATAGAGAAGGCAGAGTCTTTTGGGGTTCCTTTCTCTCATAAAAGCAGAAAAGAGTAATCCATCAGTAAAGAGGTAAGGCTTCTCATTATATTTCTTGCGAATCTTTGGAATCCCATGCGTTTGGCAATTGCTCAGGGGCAGCTTTTAGAATGCAAATGGATTTGGAAGGTGATTTGAACAGATGTAAAGCCGAAGTGAGAATCAGGCAGCATTCCAGATGTTGTTGAACTACAACTCTCATTTGCTGGCAAGGGCATCTGAAAATGGGATATCACAAGTCCCCAAAGAGACCTTGGGCAGATTCCTTGGAGGGAGAAAGGACCCATCTACACTAACCATTAATGCAGTTTCAATCCAACAGGAAACCTTGGAACCAATTTGAGGCCTGGATAGCAATTCTATAAACCACTGAACACTGGTGCGCATTAAGGGCAGTATGGCTTGGATTGTGTGATTTTAATTGACATTTGAATGTTTATGTTTTAATTATTTTGGATTTTAATGCATTTGTTTCTTTATCTATATGTGTGTGTGTGTGTGTGTAGGAGCCCCCGTTGGCACAGCGGACCTTGCAAAGGCAACAATTCCATGACACATATACATGTAATAAGGTTAAACTGCTTAGCTGCTGAACTTGCTGACCAAAAGGTCAGCGGTTTGAGTCCAGGGAACAGGGTGAGCTCCCGCTATTAGCCCCAGCTCCTGCCAACCTAGCAGTTCAGAAACATGTAAATGTACCGCTCCAGTGGGAAGGTAATGGCACTCCATACAGTCATACCGGCCACATGACCTTGGAGGTGTCTACAGACAATGCCAGCTCTTTGGCTTAGAAATGGAGATGAGCACCAACCCCCAGAATTGGACACGACCAGACTTAATTTCAGGGGGGAAATCTTTACCTTTTAATATGTATATGTGTCATGGAATTGTTGCCTTTGCAAGGTTGCTGTGAGTCCCCTTCGGAGTGAGAAGGGTGGGGTACAAGTATGGTAAATAAATAAGCAAACAAAGGCTTTCTTTTGCACATTTTTGTGGGAATTCATTGTCAACCTGCCGTAGGTTCAAGCTAGCTTTGAATTGGGATTTCTCCTGACTTTAAATTGCCTGAAATGGTCAATGTTGATGGGGCCAGCATCTTCAAGTGGTGTGTGCTGCTTCCAAACAAAGAAAAAAAGAACTGTTATTGCCAAGTAGCGTTCCTTAAATGCACCTGCTTTGACTCTCACCTGTTTTGAGATGTTCATTGTCAGGCTAGGGGCTTCTCCTGCCTTTGAAGGAATGGCTTTGCACATCATTCAAATGTCCTTTTAGCAGAGAAGGCAGGACCCAGAGGGATGCAAAGCGAAACAGGCGGTGCCAGGATGGGTTTGGAACATCTTCTGCTACAAACCGTGTTCTTGTTCCCTTTTTTACGGTTCATAGAATCATAGAATCATAGAATCAAAGAGTTGGAAGAGACCTCATGGGCCATCCAGTCCAACCCCCTGCCAAGAAGCAGGAATATTGCATTCAAATCACCCCTGACTGATGGCCATCCAGCCTCTGTTTAAAAGCTTCCAAAGAAGGAGCCTCCACCACACTCCGGGCAGAGAGTTCCACTGCTGAATGGCTCTCACAGTCAGGAAGTTCTTCCTCATGTTCAGATGGAATCTCCTCTCTTGTAGTTTGAAGCCATTGTTCCGCGTCCTAGTCTCCAGGTAAGCAGAAAACAAGCTTGCTCCCTCCTCCCTGTGGTTTCCTCTCACATATTTATACATGGCTATCATATCCCCTCTCAGCCTTCTCTTCTTCAGGCTAAACATGCCCAGCTCCTTAAGCCGCTCCTCATAGGGCTTGTTCTCCAGACCCTTGATCATTTTAGTCGCCCTCCTCTGGACACATTCCAGCTTGTCAATATCTCTCTTCATTTGTTGTGCCCAGAATTGGACACAATATTCCAGGTATGGTCTAACCAAGGCAGAATAGAGGGGTAGCATGACTTCCCTGGATCTAGACACTATGCTCCTATTGATGAAGGCCAAAATCCCATTGGCTTTTTTTGCCGCCACATCACATTGTTGGCTCATGTTTAACTTGTTGTCCACGAGGACTCCAAGATCTTTTTCACACGTACTGCGCTCGAGCCAGGCATTGTCCCCCATTCTGTATCTTTGCATTTCGTTTTTCCTGCCAAAGTGGAGTATCTTGCATTTGTCACTGTTGAACTTCATTTTGTTAGTTTTGGCCCATCTCTCTAATCTGTCCAGATTGTTTTGAATCCTGCTCCTGTCCTCTGGAGTATTGGCTATCCCTCCCAATTTGGTGTCGTCTGCAAACTTGATGATCCTGCCTTCTAACCCTTCATCTAAGTCATTAGATTCCATGGCACCCAGCCATCTGCCTCCCAGCCACTATCTGGAATCTAGTTTTGGAAAACCGAATCTCATCCCTAGGACTCTCAAAACAGGGGAGGAAGCTCCTTCAGAACATAGTAGATGTGCCTTCGAAATGCCATGTGATTTCGCCTTCCTCGCAAATACTTTTCAGAGGGACTGAACAACAGGTCCTGGATTCCAAACCTTTCCAGCCAATCCTGTTGACTTGCTTTGTTTGCCTGGCAAAATTTTGGCCATTGGTATATAGAGGCACCTTCCAACCAAATCGTGAATGTAGCCGAGCTTGTCTGCAAAAGAACAGAATGGTTTTTAAAATCCAGGCGCATGAACGAATGCCTCGAAGTCCTTCCATTCTTGTAGACTCTTTCACATCTTCCCGGCCTTTCCTTCCTGTTAGTCCAACACATGCTATTATTTGTTTGTTTGTTTATTTACTGTATTTGTATACCACCCTTCTCAACCCTCAGGCGGTTTACAATGGCAACGATTCGATGCCCAAAAATACCATAAAACACTTAAAAACATTAATACATAATATAAAACCATAACAAGAATATTAAAAACATAGATCATTTGCGTCTCTTAATAAAAGCATTATCCCATCTCGTCGTCCAGTCGTTCTAATTCCTATGTCTTTTACCTTGCATTTTCAAATGCTTGCTCAAACAACCAAGTCTTGGGTCTTTTCCGAAATGTTAAGAAAGAGGGGGCCAATCTAATGTCCCCAGGAAAGGTGTTCCATAGTAGAGGGGCCACCACTGAGAAGGCCCTGTCTTTCGTCCCCACCAAACGTGTTTGTGATGCAGGCGGGATTGAGAACAGGGCCTCCCCGGACGATCTTAAAGTCCTAGCAGGTTCATAAGGGAAGATGCGTTCAGACAGGTAAGTTGGGCCAGAACCGTTTAGGGCTATTCAGTGTTATGCTATTCAGTGTTATGCATTTATCCTGTCATCTCCTTCTGTCTGTCTGGGCCGTCACGTTACCTGTCGACTGATGGCAGCCCCTTGCATTTCAGAGGGTTTTCTCCTTACAAGGTTAGCCTTTGTTCACATGTTTTCACTTGTCTAATAAATGGTTTGAATTCCTGATCCAGAAATTTCTGAGGTGTGAATATAATTATAGCGTTATGCAGTGTGAGGTAATATGTATTTATATTTTCTTTTGCCATTTTATATCACTCCTGAATGCTTTAAGAATAGCAGTTGTTATTCTGTGTCTTTCGATTGTTTCCGAGTGATGGCTGAAAGGAGAGGCGGGTAATAATAAAAAACATCATCATCATCATCATCATCATCATTCTAAGGGGTTTTCTGGGGCTGAGAAAATGTGACTTGTCCAAGGTTACCCAATGTGTTTCCATGGCTGAGCGGGGAATTGAATCCAGAATTATAATCCAATGCTCAAAAGGTATCTTCATGGATGTTATGTGATAATCTGTGTTTATATGTTCTTCTGCACTGTCATGTATTCCCAGCAGATTGCTTTAAAGTATGTTGTTGTTATTATGTGCGTTAAAGTTGTTTCCAACTTACGGCCGCCCTAAGGCAAACCGATCCTGGGATTTTATGAGGCTGAGAGTATGTGACTCATCTGATGTCACCCAGCTGGCCTCCATGGCCCAAATAGGAATTGAACCCTAGTTTCCAGTGTTCAGACCACTACACCACACTGGCCAAAATGCATCAGGCATTTTGACCAATAAAAGAACAATATCTTGCTTCCATTTTCTTTTGCGAAACCCTTGAAAGACATTGCTGCTGGTCAAAGTTGCCAAGGTCGTGACTCAGTTAATGGCCGCTTCCTTTCTCCCCATTGGAGTTTAGTGGCACAAGGGAGATTTATAGACCTGATTCACAGATTGCTTTTCCATTTCCAGGGAAGTGATGGCAGACTTGGATCCCCTTCCGGAACCGGATGAGGCCGAGACTCCCTTGGTACTCAGTGATGGGGCCGCAAGGATGGCACTTGTGGCGGAGGATGCTTCTGAGATGCTGTGCATGAACAATTCTGATGGACCAGAAGATTACGGAAGTGTGGGAGATCTGGCGGAGCTGCAGGAAGTGTTGATGGGCCAGGACCTGGATGTGGAAGAACACGAACTCATGAGCATCGAGGACATCGGAGAGCGTTTCCAGGAGTGCATTGAAGCGGTGGAAGAGCTGGAGAAGGAGAGGGACCGACTGATCGAGGAGCTCTCGCTCCTAAGGGAACCGGCCCTCGAGGAGATCCGGAAGGCCCACCAAGAAATCCTGGAGGCCTACCGGTTGCATGCCAAAGTGGAGCTGGAGAGGAGCAACCTGCGGGACGAGATCCGGCAAGTGAAGCGGAAGCTATTCCGGGTGACCCGGGAGTGTGTGGCCTGCCAGTACCAGCTGGAAACCCAGCGCCATGAGGTGGCCCAGTCTGCTGTCTACCAGGAGGAGTTGGAAGGTCGGATCCGTCAACTCTCAGAGGAGCTCTCCCAGCTGCGGGAGGCCTGCGAGAAGGAGAAGGAGCGCTTCCGGCAGAGGCTGAGGGCCCCTCGCCGTCGCAGAGACAGCGTCTACCTGCAGGAGAGCCGCCGCCTGTCTGCGGAGTTCGAGACCTTTGTCCTGGAGAGCCGTCAAGGCCTAGAGGAACATTACGAGCCTAGGATGATGCGCCTCTTGGAGCGGCAGGAGGCCAGCCGTGTGGCTCTGCGGGAGACACAGGGTGAGGTCCACAGGCTCAAGGAGGCACTGCGGCCGCTGCGGGGAGAAGTCAGCCAGCTCCAGCTCCAGAACCGGAGCCTAGAGGAGCAGATCCTGCTCATCCGGCAGAAGCGGGACGAAGATGTGCTGCAGTACAAGGTACGTCTCGATGACACAAGTCATGGCCATGTTCTAGAACCAGTGTCTATGGCAAGGCCCGTTTCCCTATCATCATCATCATCATCATCATCATCATCATTTCCATTGCTTACCTGCCTCTTCTAAATGGTCAAGGCAGGCTACAACACAGTTAAAATAATACATTGATAATAGTAAGGCCATTAAACCTATAGACTGTATTTCTCTGATGCTATTGGTCCATCAATTGTAAGACGTATGCTAATTTCAGTATTGTGTAAATAGATAGATATAATAATAATCATCATCACTTCCATTAGGAGCCCCCGGTGGTGCAGTGGGTTAAAGCCCTGTGCCGGCAGGACTGAAGACCGACAGGTCACAGGTTAAAATCCGGGGAGAGGCGGATGAGCTCCCTCTATCAGCTCCAGCTCCTCATGCGGGGACATGAGAGAAGCCTTCCACAAGGATGATAAAAACATCAAATCATCCGGGCGTCCCCTGGGCAACGTCCTTGCAGACGGCCAATTCTTTCACACCAGAAGTGACTTTCAGTTTCTCAAGTCGCTCCTGACACGACAAAAAAAAAATCACTTCCATTGATTACCTGCCTCTCCGTAATGGTCAAGGCAGGGTACAACACAGTTAAAATAATACATTAACAACAGTAAGGCCATTAAACATATAGACCGTATTTCTCCGATTCTAAGGTGCATCAGTTGTATGCTAATTTTAGTATTGTTTAGGTAGATAGATAGATAGATAGACCATGAAACCATGAAAATGAACAAAATCTGGCTACTACCAGTATTAAAAAACTCTAAAATCAGGACAGTAAACACTCCAAAACAGGGGAATTCCAGACAAGAAACAATTAGGGTCAGCTAATACCTCCCAACAAAGGATTCCCCCGGCAGGAAGCAGCCAGGCTTTGAAGTTGCAAGGCCATTCAGTGCTAATCAAGGTGACCAATTGCAACATTCATGCTTGCCTCAAACAGACAAGAGTTTTTTCTCCCACCTTGGACCTTCTACAGATATATAGAAGGTCCCTTCTTAGTTTCCCTTGCTTAGTTTTCTTTTTCCCCCCAATATACCTCATAACTTCTGAAGATGCCTGCCATGGATGTGGATGAAACGTCAGGAGAGAATGCTTCTGGAACATGGCCATACAGCCTGGACAACTCACAGCAGCCCAGTGATTCCGGCCATGAAAGCCTTTGACAAGAGACTAGGCCATTGTTTCTCAATTGTTGGTATAATGTAGATTTGCTGATTTATTGTATACTCTAAAGTAGTAGAACACAGCAGTTTTCTAGATGGTTTAATCATGCAATATTCCTAATGATAGTACCGTGATATGTCCTTGATTTTCCTTATGTTTTAGTTACCATTAAAACTTAATCTTCACTGCATTATTGCAATGTTCCACTACAAATGGAATCATTATTTTTGGCACTTTGTGTTTACTTCCTTAAAAGAAAAGAAAAAACCCTACTAAACGTCCTTCCTTGGACGTTGGCAAACGGTGACTAACAGCAGAATGTCAGTAAATGTATTAATACCCTTCTCAGAAAAAAGTGGCATTTTTTAATTCTTCCACATTGGGAGGAAACTGGTTTGTTGGCAATGCAATTAATAGGGTTTAAGGTTTGAAAGATCGAGAGCCGTGAGGTTAAGGATCTCGCTATTCTTCTGGAACATTAGCAGAGACATGGAGACCCTTCACTTGAAATCCGAAATAGCCAGTTTCTCAAGAAAGCAACTATGCACTTCAAGCTATTGATTAATATTAGTTATGTGACACTTTAAAAGGTCTTATTGTCGATTGATTGATTGATTGATTGATCACATGCTTGTTTAAACAATTTTCCTTTTGTTTGTAATTTGCATTGGTTAATTCCCGAAGAGGCCGTTCCCAAATCTTTGCCTTCACAACTCACCAATTCCAAACAGTGCCTAAAACTAGACATCTTTTTTTTTGGAGATAGAGATTCAATAGAGTCATGCCTTGTGTTCTGGGTGATAATGTACCGTATATTCTCGAGTATAAGCCAACCCGAATATATGCCGAGGCACCCAAAATCAGGAAAAGGTATTGACTCGAGTATAAGCCGAGGGTGGGAAATGCAGCAGCTACTGGTAAATTTCAAAATAAAAATAGATACCAATAAAATTACATTAATTGAGGCATCAGTAGGTTAAATGTTTTTGAATATTTACATGAAACTGTAATTTAAGATAAAACTGCCCAACTCTGATTAAATCATTACTCTAATCTTCTTCGATGTAAATGTGTTTATGTATTCTTCTTCTAATAATAATAAAGAGAGTAAAATAATAAATTTAATAAAAACTAATAGAGTAAAAGAATGGAACTGTAAAACTGCAGCATTTGACACCGTCGACTACGATCTAATGATTCACCGTCTTGCCATGTCCGGAATTCGTGGTCAGGCCCTCAATTGGTTCAACTCATTTCTCCGGAACCGGAGTCAACGCGTGGAGTACATGGATCAAGTCTCCGATAGATCCCCCTCCTATGTGGGGTCCCCCAAGGTGCAATTCTCTCTTCTCTTCAACATCTACATTAGACCCCTTGCTAGTTTGGCTCGGAGTTTCGGCCTGGACTGCTACCAATATGCAGACGATACCCAACTCCTTCTGCGCCTGGAGCCTGGAGCAACGTCAATTCCAGACAATTTCACCCTATGTCTGGAAGCTCTGTCGAACTGGCTACGTGCTAGCAGACTGAAGGTGAACCCGGCGAAGACTGAGATTCTCTGGCATGGCCGCACAGCAGGTCTGACTCCTCCATTACCCACCTTCGATGGTGCCGCCCTATCTCTATCGACCACTGTTAAGAGCTTAGGCATCATCCTGGATTCACAGCTGTCAATGGAAGCTCAGGTCGCTGCTGCCAGCAAACAGGCCTTTTTCCATCTACGACAAGCGAGGCAACTGGCACCCTACCTATCTGACGAGGCTCTGGCAACTGTCATCCATGCCACGGTCACGTCTAGGCTGGACTATTGCAACGCCCTGTATGTGGGCCTTCCGATGTCTACGACCTGAAAGCTTCGTATTGTTCAGAATGCGGCAGCCAGGTTACTCACAAGAACGCCCATGAAATGCCATATAACACCAGTGCTGCAACATTGACATTGGCTTCCAACTGAGTACCGTGGCCTGTATCCCAGGCACGGCCGACGCCGCCGACGTCGACGCCGCCGACGCCGCCAGCGGCATTAACATCCAGCGCTCCTTCGGGCCTGCTAGGCCCCGCAGCCGCGAGCCCCTCCCTCCCGCTGGTCCGGGGGAGGGAGAGAAGGAAGAAGGCCCTCGAGCGCTCCTCCGGGCCTGCTAGGCCCCGCCGCCGCGAGCCCCTCCCTCCCACCGGTCCGGGGGAGGGAGAGAAGGAAGAAGACTCTCCAGCACTCCTTCGGGCCTGCTAGGCCCCGCCGCCGCGCGCTCCTCCCTCCCCGCTGAGAACGCGCTGCTCGGATCCCTCCGCGCTTCCATCTGGTGGTGGCCGGAGTGCAGGAGCTGTGTTGGCTCGGCGCTGCCATTGTTTTGCATCGGCTCGGCCCTCCATCGCCAATAGCAGCGGCCCTCTGCTGGCTGAGTTGTGTCACCAACAGTGGAATTCCATCATTGACTGCTTCCCTGCCATCCGGATCTCATCGTCAACGCGGGACATTTTCCATCGCGCCCACTAGCGTCCGGAATAAACATCGCCACTCCTCCACTAGTGGGGGCCCAAGCAACAACCGGAAGGCCTACCCGCTAGAAGCTCAGTGTTCTGCTGCTACCATCCAGAACTCATAGCAACAGAAATCTTGTTACCTCCTGCAACATCGCCCCCTTTGGCTGGAGGTGCAATTGATATCACTCCACACAGCTGCTAGAAATTGTCTCCTTGGAGTCACTGCCTGCAATATATAAGACCAACCCCCATTAAGCTTCATCAGCTTTTCACCGGGACGGTCAAGAAGAACTAGGGGCCAGGCCAAGGGGTGCCGGCTTGCTGTCCACGGGCCCTAGAAGCTGGGCCCTATGGTTCCAACTGCCCATCCTAGTTGAATGACATCGGGTTTTTCTGTGGGCACTGACTTTGAGTTATTGAACTATTGAGCACTTTAGTCCATCACTGAGACTTTATGGTACTATTAGAATCTGAGCCATAGAAAACCACCTAGCACTTTAATTTCTAGCACTTTAATCCTGCACTTTAGAACGCCTGGGTCATTATAAGCTATCAACTGGTCCCAAACCAATAAGCTGCTGTGAGGTGTGGCACTATAGCACTTTAGACAGCCCTGTACCCCTAGTCCGACCCTAGCTCTACATTACGAACTACCAGCAATTGACTGATGCTACCACCTTTGTCAATTTTGTTATTACTGACAGCCTTCTCCGCCAGTGTTACTCAAATGCACTTTATGTTCTCCAACACATGGGAAGGAGTAGGAAGCAGGGGGGTGGAGGACCCTAGGGGTTCAGAGTTATACAATTACAACAATGTCTGCTATTACTATGCATCAACACCTGATGCGTCAAATGAGGAGCTTGGAGGAATTCCCCCCGGGGTAGGTGGCTCTGCGGGTGAAGGGGCTGCTATAGAGGTGGTGACAGGGAGAGGGAGATACGGGAAAGGGAGAACAAATTACTCAATCCGACCCAAAATTTCTAACAATAATTTGGCGTATTCAAAACATTTTAAGGATGCAAGACAAAAACAAACCTGGCCCAAAAAGTATAATAGAACATTGGCAATCCCAAAGATTACTTATACTACAACTTTACAAACGATTCGGCCCGAAAACAGTAGGAATATATTGGCAACTCCAAAAAACCCTCCTGACAAGATACAGCTGAGATGCCAGGATGGTGGTCCCTCTGGGTTAAGGGTGGTGCTGTTCAATGCCAGGTCGGTAAATGGAAAAACCTCCACCATTCGAGATCTAATTCAGGAGGAACAAGCCGACCTGGCATGCATAACGAGACCTGGTTGGACGAGGG